TTTGAACACCCCTGGGTTTTTTTTCTAAAGGGTTAAGAGTACAAGGGTCTTGTAACTTGATAGCTTTAATACTTGCGTGCTTCAACTGCCAGAGTTTCTGAGGCAACATTTTGGTTGCTAAGCAAGAGCGCTAAGTGAGTTTCACCACATTTTACAAGTTGACCATGTCCACCCAGTTACATGCCTGGCAAGCCACTCCCACCCGGTCACATGGTCAGCAAGCCACTCCCACAAAGCAGGCCACACCTATAGAAGAGGTTCTAAAACATTTTGAAACCCACCACTGGACCTCCCCCAAAATAAGGCCAAGTGCTTATTTCGGGGGTCAAAAGTAAACAAGACCCTGTCTTATTTTCGAGGAAACATGGTTTTACCATCAAGAGGGATGCCGAGAAAAAGCTTGTTTGATGTGTCAAGCATGATGCGCCTCATAAGGTTCAGAGCGTTGACATGTTCCAACTCGGTTGTCTCTTCGTTCAAGAGATCCAGGTGTGCAATTGTTGATTTGACACAGATGGCTATCATCCTCACAAGACCCGGTCCAGAAAGAGCTGAAATTTTACAAATGTCTTGATTATTTTTCTCTCTCTACCTTTTTTTGGGAAACAAAGTTTTTTTTTGCATTTTTTGTTACATATTTTGACTTCTTTTATAAACATTTTTCTTGACATTTTCTTGACATTTCCTTTTATGCATAGTTCATTTTTACATCGTATTTTCATTTTCCATTTCAGTCGCCTTCTTTTCATTCCGTATTCCTCCGCTTTGTTTTAATTTCTTCTTAATACATAAACAATATCATTGTTTGCCTCTCTGAATTAATCAAATTGAACATATCATTTCCATCTATTACTCTGTTTTACTCTTATGTCCACCAAATTTAATTTTATACAATAAACATTTCATTTTATTAATTTTCCACAAGTAAGTACTATTATTCTATTTCCCTCCCATCATATTGAATGTATACCATTGGCTGTATTTACCAAATTTCATTCTANGGGTCACGAGGCCTCGGACTTTACTTTTTCGCCCATCATGACATTGTTGTTGCCAATCCTGGCTATCTTTTCCAGGGCCTCAATATTCTGACCTAGGCTTCTCCCAAAAGCACGAGGCAGAGTCCTGGTCCCCCCCTTTATTAAACGAATGTGAATTTATCTCATTCACAATCAGCAAGGCCTGGAAAACAGTATTTATGACTGCAGACCTTATCTAGCTTGGAAAGCTGCCATGTAACTATTTTCCCAAATGAGGTGCTGTGCAAGGAAAGACTGGGCACAGAGTCTCTCAAATTCACGGACAGATCTTCACACTCCTGAAACGAATCTAACGACCGACTGACCGAATTGTTTCCTGCAAAAGCCCACTCCCCTCTCGCTCCTCTTTAATGTCCTATGGGAGGGGCCAATCACCTCCCACCTGTGTCTTTACTCCCAAGTTGACCCTGAATTCTGAGTTGTTCTTTTCTTCTGGCAACTCTGCGCATGCGCACACTGGGAACAGGCTCCAGCTGTTCCTCTGCCTCACTGCTGTCTAGCTCCGCAGGGACCTGATCACTGCCAGATGGCGTTGGCCACGTCTCTGCCTCCAATGCAGAACCCTCGTCCAAGCCTTCCCCAGCCTCCAGGACTGTCCCATGCTCCTCCATAACCCCTTCACTGTCCTGTTAGCTCTGCTGGCTGCTGGAGCCACATCACTCAACACCAGAGAAGTCTCTTGGAGGCCAGAAGTTATCTCAGGAGCAACCCCCATCCATACATCCTAAAAGAGGATTTCTTTTATTCCTCCTCCCATCCATTTTTTAAAAATTCCCCCCCAACAAGCATCCTGTTTTCATTGCCTGCTCAATGAATGCTCTGCTGCCTTTGTCTTCTGCAGTTTTGTTTAAAGAAGCATTCACATTCACTTCAGAAGACCCTGTGAGAAAATATTACATGTGTACCCTGTTTCCCCACAAATAAACCCTCCCCGGATAATAAGCCCTCCCTGGATAATAAGCCCTCCCTAAAAATATTGCAACACAGCAGCGGCCATGAGGTGACCACGCTCGCTGCCTCCTGCACCTCAAAAATAATAAGACCTCCACAGGGGTGGGTTCCTGCCAGTTCTAACCTCTTCTATAGAAGAGGTTCCACAAATCTATAATGCCGTTTAGAACTGGTTCCAGCTCCCTCCCCCCGTCCGCCCGTCTGGACATCATCAAGACGAAGAGTGAGAGGAGGAATTCTGGGAGTTGAAGTCCACAAGTCTTAAAGCTGTCAAGTTTGAACNTCTCTCTCTCTCTCTCTCTCTCTCTCTCTCTCTCTGTCCCAAGGACCAGCCCATAGATTTCCACTGCCCTCCTCTCCTCTGTCTTCTATGCATTCGTGCATCAGGCAGCTGTTCCTCCCCTTCCTCATCAACCACCTCCAGACCTGGGGGCTGTTGACTCTCCATCTGAGGGCTGATGGACGGCCCAGGGTCTGTCCCCTCTGTCTCTCTCTCTCTGTCTCTGTCCCAAGGACCAGCCCATAGATATCCACTGCTCTCCTCTCCTCTGTCTTCTATGCATTCGTGCGTCAGGCAGCTGTTCCTCCTCTTCCTCATCAACCACCTCCAGACCTGGAGGCTGTTGACTCTCCATCTGAGGGCTGACGGACAGCCCAGGGTCTGCACCTCTCTGTCTCTGTGTCTCTCTCTCTCTGTCTCTCTCTCTGTCCCAAGAACCAGCTCATAGATTTCCTCTGCTCTCCTCTCCTCTGTCTTCTATGCATTCCTTCATCAGGCAGCTGTTCCTCCCCTTCCTCATCAACCACCTCCAGACCTGGGGGCTGTTGACTCTCCATCTGAGGGCTGATGACGGCCCAGGCTCCACCTCTTTCTCTCTCCCTGACAGCTCCATTCCCTCTTCCCCCTAGGAGCTCTCCGCTTGCCCTGATGCTGACCCTGACTGCCATACTGCCTCCTCCTCTGATTCGGATGCTGGAGGGGCCGACGCGGCCGAAAGGCCACAACAGAAATAATTGTTGTGAACATAAGAAACGGAATGAAATTGGTTCTAGCAGAGTTGTTGCGAAGCTGCTTTTTCCTTCCAAACGCAACGGGGCTGGTTTATTTTTTTTTCCCCCTGGAGGAAGAAGAACAAAATGTTTCGTTTCTCATCCAAGGAACTTCATCAATTTGTGATGGCGGAGGAGATGGCTGGGTTGGCGTGGCCGGGTGGTCATGTGACTGGGTGGGTGTGGCCAACAACATCACTCATCACAGCCAGCCCCGCCTCCCAGTCACTTGCCTCAAAGGCAGAAATGGGATTCAGCAATTCTGACTGGATGAAAAATGGACAAAAAACAGCCCACAAATGGCCACAAAACAGCTGGAAAACGGGCCAAAAAAATGGGCAGGGGTGGAGCCAGACAGTGGTGGGATTACCCGTTTTGGCAAACTGGGCAGAATTTTAACAACTAGTTTGCCTGAACCGGTCCAAACCGTCTGAGTCCCACCTGTGACCCTTGGTCTATAGGCAGCCTGATCCACAAAGGCATACGTGCTACTTACGCAGATGTCTCGTACTTCTTGTAAAACCAGGAGAACTTGAAGAAAATGTTAGGTTTCAGGAGAAGAGCTTGCCAAGCATCAAAGTAGTTCTGGATTTTGAGCACAATGGCATGTTCTGAAAGTACAAGAACGAGATAATTCTGAGTCCAGATTATAAGTCCAAAGTTTGAAAAGGGACAGTAATGTTACGGGCTGTATTTGGTCAAGTCTGTAAGGATGGGCCTCGGGTTCCACCACAAAACTGCGCTCGACTAAACCACGTCCGACTAAACCGTGTCGCTGACATCATCAACAGGGCGACAACAGCNGGTACCTCCAGTTAAAAGGATCAGGTAGCAGATCTCATGAAATTGTTCCACTTAATCTTTGAGGGCAATATACGGTACTGAAAAGAGGCTAGTCCTCAAGTTACAGCAGGAACAGAGCCTGCCCCTCAACAGCCGTAACTCACAATGGTTGCCAAACTGAACATTACGACCTTTCTGGCAGCGGTTGTTAAGTGATTCACCACATTCGTTAAGTGAATCTGCAATCGTGACGTGAACCGATGGCTGGCCATGTGTGTGGTTTTGCTGAAAGCCAGGGGTAGATGTCAGTATTTGGCCAAAAAGGTGTCATAAAAATCAGTCACATGACCGCAGGACATTGCAAACGAACCACTGTAAATGCAGTTAGGTTGCCGGATGCCCGAAGTGTGGTCACATGACCTTGGGGTGGGCGGGGCTGACCCTTGGAACTTCAAATCCAGGTTGCTAAGCAACCCCCAGGTAGGTCTGTCAGAACGACAAGCGGTTGCTAAGCAACCAGTCATAAGCCAAGGACTACCTGTGGATACTTTAGGCCTCATATAAAAAGCTGATAAAAGATCAACTTCCCTCCAGATTTCTGTTATTGTTTCCCCAGTGTTGGAAAGGAAAAAAAATGGTATCCAGATTACCTGGGCAAAAATCAGCTCGGACGCAAAATCCATGTGTTCCTCCAGGTTATCGGCGGCGAAGAGCTTCTGTCGTTTCTGCTCAATTAAGGTCTCGATGCTTTCTTTCAGGTCTTTCCTGAAAAAAAAGGAGAAATCCTTTCGGTTCAACACTAAATATCATTTGGAAACAGGAGAATATGAAATTGTTCTGACCCAGCTTCTCAAACCCTCTGAAGGGAACTCAATTATTACAAATGCTGGCAGTCCCGGCAAAAAGTTTCCCTCACAGGCTAACAAATCTATCCGGCTGGAAGATGAATAGTTGTCTGCTTCATCTGTTCATCTCCGTCCCTTGCCTTTGATCCCCAGAGCTAGGGTGGGGCTTTGCTAGCAGCAGTGGCTCTTCCATCCCAAGGACTGGCCCATAGATTTCCACTGCTCTCCTCTCCTCTGCCTTCTGCACATCCATGCGTCAAGCACTGAACCCAGCCGTTCCTCCTCTTCCTCATCAGCCACCTCCAGACCCTGGGAGCTGTTGATTCTCCGTCTTAGGGCTGACGGACGGCCCAGGCTCCTCCTCCTGTCTCTCTCTCTGCCAGCTCCATTCCCTCTTCCCCGTCGGAGCTCCCAGGTTGCCTAGATGCTGCCCCTGACTCCCACGCCGTCTCCCCCTCCTCCTCTAGTTCGGCTGCTGGAGGGGGCTGGTGGCCGATAG